TGTGTGAGCCAGCAGACACTGACTGGCTGTGCAGGGGACAGGAATGGGTTTCTCATGTTGTCTTTCTGGCAGCCACTGCTCCTTCCCCTCTCCAAAGAGTGATCCGACTGATGCTTTGATGTTGGCATCTGCTCTGGTTGCACCCAAACCAGCTTGATTTTGCTGCTTTAGGTTCCACCTCTGTGTCTCTGAGCATCTTGGGGGCTGGAGGGGCCATGAGGACACCCAGTCTGTGGGGTTAGGGAAGGTGTGGGGCAGTGTGTGACTGCACCCCTCAGCTCTGCATCAACTCGTCCCTGGGCCACAGCAGAGCTTCTCCACAACACATGTGGTACTGCAGTGCAGATCTGAGCACCAGCATTGCCTCAGCTGGACGAGGACAGCAGCGTGTCCTGGCGTGCGAGCAGTGGCAGCTTAGGGCAGGAGAGGACATCAGTTAGAGAGTGAGCCTTCCCCTGTTCGTGCCCTCCTGGCAATTGGTGGTTCAGGCTCATGCAATGATAAAGCCTTTTTTAAGACTCCAAGACCTTTCCCTCCTACTGAAGGCTGTTTGTGGGCTGGGGCAGAGCCTGGTGCCTCTCAGGAATAGTAAATGAGTCAACCCCTCAAATCACTTTGTGGAGGTGGAGAGCACAGGTGAGATTTTTACCCCCTCCGGTGATCACAGAGGTGAGGCTCCTGTGAGGGTGTGGGTGTGGCTTTTGTCTCATTAGCCAAAGTGCTGATGACTTTAACAGCAGGGAAGTCACCAGTGCTCATTTATTTAATGTCTCTCTCCTGGTTTTGCTCTGGGTGCTGTAGGTACAACAGCCTGGTGACTGGCAAGAGGGCAAGAGGACTCATCGCTGTGCTGTGGCTCCTGTCCTTTGGAATTGGACTGACTCCACTTATGGGCTGGAATAAAGCCATGAGTGGTTGTCCCAACGCCACCAACGAGACAGGGGCTGATGTGGGGACGGAGCACCACGGCTGCTTCATCTCCTGCCTCTTTGAGAACGTGGTCACGATGAGCTACATGGTGTACTTCAACTTCTTCGGCTGCGTGCTGCTGCCACTTGTCATCATGCTGGGGATCTACATCAAGATATTCATGGTGGCCTGCAAACAGTTGCACCAGATTGAACTGATGGGCAACTCCAGGACCACGCTGCAGAAGGAGGTGCACGCGGCCAAGTCTCTGGCCATCATTGTAGGACTTTTTGCCTTCTGCTGGCTGCCCCTGCACATCTTGAACTGCATCACGCTCTTCCACGAGGATTTCTCCAAATCCAAGCCCGAGTGGGTGATGTATATGGCCATCATCCTCTCCCATGCCAACTCCGTCATCAATCCCATCATCTACGCCTACAGGATCAGGGACTTCCGCTACACCTTCCGCAAGATCATTTCCAAGATCCTCTGCAAGACGGACGACTTCCCCAAGGGCACCACTGACAACAACCAGCACTTGACTGTCACCAACATTAACTGCCCAATGGCCTCGGTGACCATATGACCCTGCAGGTCCTGCTCCTGGGGTTCCCAGCCCGTGCCCAGCGCTCCCCGTCCCCGTGCCTGTGTGAGCGGTCAGGGCGGGCTCCGAGGGGGTGCTCGGAGATGACCACTATGCACTTGTGCAGCTGTCTTTTTTATTTTATTTTTGTAATTAACACAGTGCCTCGTGGGGGAGTAACCTGACGGGGGACACTGAGTGCAGCTCACCCTCCACCATCACCCCAGGGTGGGAGTGCCGGTGACTGTCGTGTTTCCTTTCCAGGTTGGACATTGACTGGGGAAAGACTCACCTGCTGGGGGTGTTTCCCCTAATTGTGCTGCTCATGTCAAGTCATAGGATCTTTATTTTAATTATTATTATTATTGTTATTATTATTTTTTAATATTTTGATTCATTTAGGAGTAATAATTTTGTGTCTGTTTTTGAGTTGTTCTCTAAGTCCATACTTGACAGCTCTTTGGTAATACCCTAATTATTCCATCAATTGTTTGATGCAGCTAGTATTCTCTGATGGGAAAAAGTCTTACTTAGCCCAGTTGCTGGTGTGAAATGGAATCTGTGTTCCAGGCTCTGAGGGGAGGGACTGCGTGGATGGGAAAACCAGATCAGAACTGGCCAGCTATTTCTGGCCCCAGCATGAAAACCCTACTTACTGAAAGAGTTGAGAAAAGACCAAGGTTTTAGAACAGCAGCCTCATGGCCTTTAAATCACTTTGGTCTACAGGATTGTGCAGCCCAAAGCTTCAGGTTTGCTTTCAGGTCTGTTTCCAGATGTCAAAATGCAGAAGGCAGAGGTGCCCCAGGGATCTTGGCTGGTCTGATCCAGAGTCACTGAGGTCAGTGCCACTCTGACTTGGTGACATGACCTCTACAATCAGATTTTTGCTCCCAAGTCAAAACTTGCCATCCTTGCAGTGCTTCCAGAAGTGCAGGTTTTAGCTGTGAGAGCTGGATGTGCAGCTCACCTGGTCCCTAAAGCTTGATCTGGCTGGGCGTCCTCTGCAGCCCTGTAACCCCCAGAAGCTGTGAATACTTTTTTGTTTGTTTGTTTTAATAGTAATTTTTATATTTTTATTTTTTTCTAATGCTGACCTGCATCAGTAACAAAAAGAGACAGGAAGGGAGCTAAAGTGCTAATGTGTGTGAGAAGCTAGATTGCCGTGGCTTGTGACCTGATTTTGGCAAAGCTCTCACAGGTTGTCTAGCCTGGCCTCTGTAGTTGGCCAGGTGTCCTGGCCCTCACTCTGAGTGAGTCCAAAGCCCACTCAGCAGCAGAGCAGTCTTAATTATACTGCAGGTTAATAACTCTCTGCAACCACAGCTCAGTAATTACTGCACCAATTTAACGTGTAACTGTGATATCCAAAACTAGACAAAGGCAGAGAGAGCAGTGCAGTAATTTCTGAAGAACAAGCTGATCGTGGTGCAGAGATGCAGCTGCTCCTGACTAGCTCAGACCTGCCACCACGTTGTGGCCCTCTCACAAATGGGAGTCTTGCCTGAAGGTTCCATCTCCCTCCGAAGCACTCGGTGCCAGCAGCACCACCATGCGACTGGTGAGGAGCTGGAGTGCAAGGACTGGTATTAAATTTGGTTTTCAGCTGTAACTCATGCAGGGAGAGAGAGGGAGCAGGACTTCTGGAGCCAGGTTGCAGGGAAGGAAGTTTAAACACAGCCAGTTCCTGAAGAACAGGTCCAGTGGACAGACTGTGATGCGTGATGGGCAGTTTGTCCCTGAAAAATTGTACTTGAATCATATTTTTTTTTAACTGTGTTGCACTAAAAGGGGGTTAATACAAGACCCCAAGAATTTAACTTCTCTGGCAAATATAATGACAAATACGGTGTAAAATCAGTTGAAAAGCTGATCTGATGAAATCTTGTTCCCCCAGCATCTGCTCTGCCAGCTGGCAAGACCTGCAGGCAGCAGCTGCAGGAATGACTTAGGGCCCACCATGCACAGGGAATGGTTCCCTGGGAGTGATGGATTTCAATACCGTGTGTAGCAGCTCGGCCCTGAGAGCCAACCCCAAACCTGGGTGAATCACCAGTAAGCTCTGAATGGGTTTGTACATGTTTATGCAATGTCCAAATTTAGCTACAGCTCAGTATCTCAGATATATGCATTTCCAAGAAGAATCTGAACAGTTGAAGTTACTGTCCCAAGTGCTTTTCCTTTAACAGCCCCATTCAGCTTTGCTGCATCTGCCTTGGTCACAGTCCAGCTGACACATGTAGCCACCTCCTGCCATTTGGGCAGGGTCTGACTCTCTCCTCCGCTCATTCCTTCCCTTCTGTATTATCTTTGGCCGTGTTCCTTCTGTTAATCACGGCTGGAAACGAGCAGGGTTTCACCTGCAGGTCTGGCAGTGTTGCACAGTGGATGCAAGCCACATTTATTCTCACAACAAAGGACGTAATCTCTCCCTTCTGCTGGCTGAAAACGAACCAAACTCTGGACAGCACAAACGGACTGAAACTCACAGTGCTGTAAAACCAAAAGAGGAGGCCCCAGGACACTTGTTGTATGTGACAGCTTGCACTGCAGCTCAGCATCCACGACTGCTACCTTCATCTGCCTCTTATGAGCCAGGATTCCTGCAGATGGGTGCGGTGTGTCCGACTGTGCCGTCGGGGTGTCAGGCATTAACTGTGGCCCAGGTCACCATGGTCATTAGGCACAGTAAGTGTCTTTGTGGATCTGAGCCAAAGACATTTCAAGGCAAAATACAAATAGGACACTTCCCTTGCCCCCCCCCCATAAAAAAAGCTCTGAAGGTTTCTATAAAAATGTGAAGTAAAAATGGCCGAGGAACTTTCTGTAGCGAGTGCAGCTGAAGCCATTCAGCTGTCACTCCTCACTGCTCTGATGTACATAGATGGATGTGTTTTCCTCATGTTGCTCAGATTTTGTATTTGCAGTAACTGTTATTTACATACAGAATGCTTAATTTACCACCCACACAACCTGGCTCAGCCTGTGCCCCATTATTTCTCGTGGTGACGCGTTCACACGGTGTCTCATACGAGGCCGCACTGCACTCGAGGAGGGCGTGGGCAGGGAGCCAGAGCTGGAAGGAGCTGGTTCCCAGCTCACTGGCTGGTGTGTGGATTGGGAAGCAGGAGTGTCCTTCCCCCTGTGCCTGACATGCCTTGCCTTGCCCACCAGCATGAGGTGGTCAACTTGTCTGGAAAGGATCAATTTAAAGCACAGCAACCAGGGTGATGCTTCCAAAGATGCTGTGTTACAGCAGAAGCACAGACCTGTCATCAGTCTTGAGGTGCTGGGGGCCCCCCTCCCTAGTCCCTGGTGCAGGTTTGACAGTGATGGATCAGAAATTGCTCTGAGCAGCCACCTGCAAAGAGCCACAGCAGCTCCTTAATTTGAGGATCACTAAGAGACCTGCTGGAGCGTTCGCATCCCCACATCACAAGCACACGATATCACAGATTAGTTAAAACATCTTCAGAAATCCCAAGAACAGCCTAATTAATGAAACAGAAGTCAACACAGGCTTCTTAACATTTATTAATTAATTTATCAGTGCAAAGCTGCTAATTAATGTCATGCTTGGCTGCAGCACAGTAAGAAACCTGCCAGCCACCACGAGCATTTGACAGCCTTGCAGATATGAAAAATGCCAGCTACACCTCCAGGAGGGTACACAGAAAGTACAACCCTTTCATCAAATCCCATTCAAATCCTTCATCCTTCCTCCTCTTCCTCAGCCAGCAAGATGCTTGTGAGCTGCTCCTCAGAGACAGTGAGTTCCTGGCAGGCTCCCATGGCCTGGCTGAGGTAGACGGCGAGTATGTGTTTGCACTGCAAAGTTAACGGGAATGTCGTGCTCTGCCTGGACCAGGGATCCATCCTGGCCAGAATGGGTCTAATAAACCACATGGTCCCCTCCTGGCATGCCAAGCCCTGGCACAGGTGGTGCTCTGTTTGCCCCAGTTCTGCCACCAGGATAATGTAACGCAGGGATGTGACACAGAAATGTGTCCTGGCTCCTGACACCCTCCCCACAACTGCAGCCAGCTGAGCCCTCCCTCACTGGCACCAGGTGAACTGCACCCCTCCATCAGCCAGATTCCATCTGGCAGTTCTATTAGTGGCACAAGCCCTTGTCCCAGGAGATTGGGGATTATAAATCTCTTGAAAGTCGGAACAGGAGTGCATCATGAACAACAAAAGCCCTCCCCAGCGCTAGTCCCCTCACCAGCTGCAGCTCTCAGAGGCCAGTCACACAGTGGGTCAGGCTCAGCCTGCATGGCCAACTCAACACTCGTGTTTGCTCCCTTGGAACTTTCAGGCTGCTCATGGAGCAGAGCACAGCCTTCTCCCCTGCTCCCTGTCCTGGCCCCAGGCTGAAGCAGAGAACTCACCAGAAGGCTCACGCTCTTCTGCAACACAGAGAACCCGAAAGCAGGACATGTGCAGAAGTGGCAGGAGCTGTAGCAGGTGTAGAGTTTGCCTGAGTTCCCAAGGACCTGAAACAAAGGCAGCCAAAGGGTCAGAGGCAGCATTCCCTTTTAAACTCTCTCACTCAACCTGGACCTGGACTGAGCCCTCCCACCAATGATTCCCAGCTCACAGCTGGTAGGTGTCACAGTACAAGTGTCCCCAAACACTGCAGTGACCCAGCTAACCTTGAGGCTCCTCAGATTCCCCATGCTCTCTACAAGCTTCTCTCCCCACAGGTAAGGAAGTGCTCCTGCACCTCTGCTTGTACAGACCCCAGCTCCACTGACTTGTCTGCTGCCAAGCGACCAGGAGAAGGGCAGTGGCACCATCCCTGATCTCCCTGTGAGCTGCCAGCCCCTCCAGTGAGCTCCCTCCCCCAGTACTGGCAGACTGCTGAAGATGACAAAGACTGCCTTGTCACACAAAGCCCAGTTGTGGATCCAGAGCCACCACGGGCCTGGCGATGGAAGGAGAGCAGCAGGGAGCACTTGCAGTGAGGCCTTTCCTTTTCTAACCACCTCCAGTGGCTGGAGGCTGCAAAGGCTCTTGCTGTTCTGCTCCCAAAACCAGCTGCAGCTACTGGAATCCAGATTTGTCTGAATAAACAAAGTTGAAGTCTCCAGAGAAGAAGCCTCCCTGCTCCATCTCTGGTTTGGGAACAGCACTGCCTCCGTTTCCCACATGCTGTTCCCCTGCCAAGCTGGTCCTGAGGCGTATTCCTGCTGCACCAGGGGCACGGGGTGCAGGCAAATGGGTGAGGGAAGCATTTGTTCCAGCACAGATAAACAGACAAGCAATCTGTGAGCTGCTGGAGCTGACTGCAGGATATAGGAAAGCCAGCCTATGGATTATTATTTCTCTTTTGGTTTCTTCAAGACTGGAAAATAGCTTTTAGAAAGCTACTTTAAGGGCCAACTGCTCTGCCCTCTCCTGTGGCAGGGGAAGGATCTGCACACTGCACACCCCAGGCTCTGAGGGCACAACACACCCCTCTCCCACACCAGGCTTTAGATTCTGGCTGGATTTGTGGCTCACATACACCTAAATCCAAAGGAAAACCACAAAAAAGTGCAAAGCCAGTGGAGCTCTGCAGAGTGCTGCTCCCCTCCAGGACATTCCTGGCACTCCAAGCCCCTCCAGAGGAACATTGTCCCTCCCAGTCCAGAGCTGCACTTGCAAGGGGAACCTTCTCCTGCCCCCTGAAGCTCTCTCTGCACCCTTTGCCCAATAGGTAACATCCAGTTTAGGCTCTCCCACAAAAGTTTCTATGCCTCAAAATCCCTCTTAGTCCCAGCAGATCCGGGACACATTCCCATTTCAGTGGAAACCACTCTTTTTTCAGTCTGGCCTTTACCCTGTAGTCCAGGCTGAGTTTGTTTCACTTGTGATAAGCTTGTTTTCCTCTAGCCCCTTTGATTGTTTTTTCCAAGATGAAGTATTCCGATGGTGCCTTTCCTTCAGAAGTGTTTTCCTTTGAGGAGGGGGGGAAGCCACAGACAGACACTGCCAGATTTGGGCTGAGCTTAGAGTTCCCCCATCCTGACCTAGATGGCAAGAACAGAACACAGCTTCTGCCTAATAAGGCAGAATCTAAAATCCAAATACTAAGAGAAAAAGGTGCCTCTGTTCCTGGCCAGCTGCAGCCCAGCCAGGCACGGGGGTGCTCTCCTGGCCCTGAGATGCCACAAGATTTCCTTCTGCCGCCCTCATCTCCAGGCATTTGCTGGTTGCACAATGAGGAAAAATCCCCTTGGTGGTGTCCCTGCCGGTGTGTGGGGACACAGGAGGGTCAGCTGAGGCACCATGGCAGCTCCTGCTGCCACCAGCACACACAGAGACAGACAGCACCACAGTCTGTGCCAGGGCCCAATGCTCAAACCCCACACAGTTCTAAGAAATGAATGGAAAAAGACATAAAAGAGAAGGACCTCCTGAAAGTGCAGGATGTGAGCAATGCAAGTGGCAGTTGGCAAAAGGGCTAAAGCACTGCCTCCCCCCCTGCTCATTGGCTTCACTCCACAGCTCAGCATTCCTGCAACTTGGGCAGAGCTAAAGGGAGCCCCAAATGCTGCCTGGTCACCACTCTGCACTTCTGCCAAATCCAGCACAGCTCCACCATCAGCCAGATCCACCATCTCTGCAGCAGGTCAGGGTTATTTATCCCTGAGCTGGAGTTACACGGGTTGGATTCAGTCTGCAGCACAGGCAGGTGTCACACAGGCTCTCCTGGGATGATCACAACTCTGAGGTAACATCAGCCCCTGAACACTCCATCAGTGCTACTCCTCTATTAAGCAGCAAGGGCATTAATGCCCAGGCATTACAGCCCAAATCATAGCTTTCACTTGACAGAGAGGTCTTTCTTCTCCCATCTCAGCTCCTGAGGGCAAGAGCTGCCTACACTACAGGCTGCAGTCCTAGGGCCTGTCTGAGCAGAGTCTTCTTCCCCTGAAGCTTTACCTAAGATATGCTGGGTGATATGGAAGTATCAACATTTCAGATTTGGCTGTAACGACCCAAAAGAGTTTCACAACAGGACCAGCCTCAAAGAGCACAGTTCTCCAGATCCAGCTGCAAGTGAAAGCACCACCTCACATTCCAGCTCAACCACATCTGGGTGCAAAAGGCAGAGATGACTTTCTGGGGAGTAATTAAAAGGGATGACTGTGGATGTGTCCGGGCAGCCATGGGTGCCCCCCTCTCCCCAAGTGCACAGAGCTGGGCTGCATGTCTACACCACACACACAAATGAAGTGGCTCTCCAGTGCAGTGTCCCACCCAGAGTTTCTGTTCCTTCGACCCCAGATTGTGTTCCTGTCACTGCTCCAGCCAGTGGCCTCAAGGGAGGCTCTGCTCTTTGTTTCTGCATCTCAGACAGCTGCTGCTGAGGAAGAATTTCACAATGGGACCAACCTCACACCCCCAGAGAAAATATCTCTCCAGATTCCTCTGCTAATGAACTCATCAGTGTGGCCTTAATCAGCAATCAGGCTCCACCAAAGAGGAATGCTGCTGGGAAGCACACAGGAACTTGCAGGCAGGGGCTGCTTCCTACAGCTTTGCCCTGCATTAACTCCTGGTGACCAGCCCTGACCTACCTGTCCTGGGGTTCCTTCTCCACAGGGGAGCCCGTGGCTCCCTCTCCCTGCAGAGGCAGGAGGAGAGTGGTTCTGACACTTGCTCTCTTTCAGTGTGTTGATCCAGCTGTTGGGGCCATCAGTAGTTATTAATCAATGCCCTGCAAAGCTCTGCCTTAGCCTGCACGGCCTGACAAAGCTCTGCAAAGGGAATGTGACCATTCTCTGCCCAGTGGCATATTCAGACAGGCAACAGTAAAAAAGGAAAAGCCTTTGAGCATTCAATTAATTATTGAGGCAGCTGCTGTCTAAGGGTGCTGGAAGCAGAGCTTCTTAGGCTTTATCAAATACCCACAGGCAAGCCCTCAATTAAAATCTAAGGCTGTGTTCTTGAGCACTGTATGTTTATGATTCATGACTCTCTGGAGGGGCCATGTTCTCTCCAGGGCCCCAGAGGCGATAAAGACTCGATGTGCAAATGAAGCAATGCAAGCCCTGAACATGTGAGAAATGTTTGTGTCATTACCCAGGCCTGACTTCACAGCTCTTCTCTCACCCTAAATGACCCCAGAGCATCTCAGGACCTCCACTGGAGGAGAGAAGGATATTTAGAAATGTTCCTCTTACCTGCTGTAACAGCGAGCAAAGAGATTTCCCTTCTGTGGTATGTGAAAAGCACAGCCCCAGGTTCAGCAGTGGAGGGGCTGTGCTACCTGAGGGGGTCAGGAGTGCTAAGTGGGAATTGGGTGCTCCACCAAATCTCTTAAAGGCTCCTCTTTTCACCTAATGAGCCTCAGCTCCACCTCCCATCCTGTGCTGCAAGAGGAGTTTGATCTTTAGGGCTAAGGTGAGCTCTTCTCCCTAAAATGCCATTTTATTAAGATGTTTCTGTGATTCACAGATTTGGCTACAAGTGAACTAGAATGAAACCCACGGAATTTGGCCTGCATCACTTCCTCCCAGGCAGCAAGGATCCTCCTGCCAAGCAGAGGTCAAGAGGTTTGGTGTGCAACAGGGAAAGCAACGCAGTGATGGCAGATAACACTCTGTTGTGTACAACTGGTCAAGAGGAAGAACTTCCTTTGTTGCATAGGATGAGAGTAATAAAGCAAAATTAGCAATCCCTAGAAAACTTCCTTCTGACTGTGACACCCACAAACACATAAATTATCTCTGACTGGCTGGGAGCCACAAAGAAGATGGCAGTGTACTGTGCTGTTCTAATTCTAGTCCGTGGCTGCTGCTGTCCACTATCACTTCTGAAGTTTGTAAAACACTGATATTCTCTCTGTGTTTATCCAAGTGCCCTTCCATGTTCTGCAAAGTCAGGAAAGTATTGGCTCACGTGCCAGCTGGAAAGCATCAGAAAGCAAGGCTGGAGAGGAGTGTGTACCTGGTACAGGGTCCTTCCACTGGGGGACGTGACTTGGGTGACAGAACATTGATCCACCAAATCCAAAGCTGGGACAGCACATGGGCCAAATATGAACCTCAGCCTGAAAGAGAATGTGTCTCTAGTTAGGTCACACCACAAAAAGAGGCCACCAGGCTTAGCCCTAGTCCATGGATGTGGCCCTACGGAGCCTGCAGCCAAAGCAAAATAAGACATGCTGGCAAAGAGGAGCTGCAGGAAGGAAATCCCAGGGGATGCAGCTGAGGTTACAGACAACAGGAGTGTCACACACAGAGCCCAGTTATCCTTGCTGCAGTAACTGTGAAACTGTCACTTGAGCACAACAAGCATAAACAGGGATTTTACTGGGAGCAGCACTGGAGCACAGGGGACCATATTTGCTAAAGGGAAAAGGGGCTTGTGCTCTGGGACACCTTAATTGTACATCCAAGCTGTCCTGGATGCATTGTCCTGGATCAGGTGATTGATCAGTTGGCCTTGAATCCCACCTCCAGTCATGGTCCACACATCATGCCTTGGAGCAAGGACAGAGCCAGGATGACACAGAGCTCCTGGAGCAAAGGAAGTGCAGCAATGGGGCTCCTTCCTCATCCCAGGGAAATTGGTTTAAACCCTGGAGGATGAATGAGTCATTTTGTAGTGATGGAGCCTCCTCTATCACAGTCACAACTGAGGGATAAATTATTCTTTCTCTACCCACCAAACTGCATAAAGAGGAAGCAGGAAACTATCAGGGAATGATGTAAGACACTCCACTGCACATGGAGCCACCAGATAGCAGCAGTTTTACATCTCTAATCCAGCTACAAGCAGGGCTCAGAGACAGCAAAATTATTCCAGATAAACACCCAGGGGCAGCACGTGCTATGTCCCTCCACTCTCCCTAAAACCCCTTTCCCCTTCCTTCCAGGCAGGAATGCACTACTGCACAGCATTTATGGATCAGAGAGTGCCTGGGATGGGGCACAGACAAGGCTAAGCCAGGTTTGCTCAGGCACACGACTCTCCTTGGCTTCAGTGCTGTGAGGCAGCCCCACGGAGGCACTCACTTCTGTCTGGCCACTGCTGTGCTCCCTGCTGTAAAATTCCACACCAGCAAGTGGAAAATAAAGAGCTGTGAGTCCTTAAGGCACAGCAACTTCCATCTACACACTCCCTGCACATCCCTGCAAGGAGGATTTATCTCCTGCTGATGCCCTGCATGGTATATGATAAGCTGTATGTTAAATATGGACATCTGCACCTTTAGCCTATTGTCCAGACAGCTTGTGGGCTTAAAAGTAATTCTAGACCTGCAAATCCAGCTGCTCTGAGCGTGTTCCAAATTGCTCAGGGGCAACTCAGTTAACTTTGCAGACCTTTCATCCGCTGAGAAAAATCTGTGTAGTCTGGATTAGTTACAAGGGTAAACAAGAAGAAAATCAGCAGTGATGAAAAGATAGCACAAAACATGAGCAGGAGAAGGAGGAACGTTTCCAGCTCCAGTGAGGACACACCAAGGCAGAGCCGTGGCAGCCCAGCAAGGCTGACCTACACCTCTGAGTCAAGCTCATTGATAACAAGCCAAGCAGACAGACTGATTCCAGGAAGACCAAAACTCCAGTTGCACAAACTCAAGGCAATAAGGACTGGTTTCATCTGAGGGCTGAGGAGGTGGGTGGGGGAACGCTTAACGTAAGACATTCCTTAATGATTAGGCCTGGGACTAGAAGGGGGCTGAGTTTAATGAGTTTCAGTAACTCTTTCAAATTTAGGGAGTTCTTTTCTCATGTATATAATTTGATCAGCTTAACAGGACTTCAAGGACTTCAGAGATTTGGAAGAGATTCAGAAATTAAATCAGAATACTTCAGATCTGGTGGTTACAGGGGACTGATGGAAATCTGACTGCCAAGAGTTACCACCCGACCCTTATTAAACTTAACATGGGAATTTCTTTCCTTCTCTTTTCTTTTGTGATGAGAAGGAAACAAAAAGAGACTTGTCAAATCTAATCCCACCCTTCAAAGGCCGTTTTGGTCCCAGGAGGGGGAGCCAGCACACCTTTCACAAGTGTTACCTTAGACAACTTTAACACAAAGGGATTAAGGCCTGAAAGGGTTCCTGGTGATCTCTTCTCCTGGTAGGCAGGAACACACACTTAAAGATAAATCTGAAAAGTCTCTTTTCACTGTGACACTGCCTTTTCTCCACCTTCAACACCAATTACTGAGGGCTGATGTTGTGAAACTTGGATCTCTTAGGAGACTGCTTGGGAACGACTGAAATGTTCACAAGCTGCAATCAACACAAGGGTGATCACACTGACCTGAGAACAGCAGAAACTTCTCAGGGTAATCTTCAGGTTAACAATTCCCTCGTGCAGGGAGATGATACATTCACTTCTCCCTTTCTATCACACGTGCCCATGACTCAGAACAAGTGACCTCAGGGTGCTGCTGTGCTCACAGTGATGGGGACATAGTGAGATGCAGCGGCCTGAGTCACCCTGAAACACAGTCCACTCTCACAGAAAACTCATTCCATGTCTGAGGGTGGACTCACAGCTCAGGTTAAAACATCCTGGGTTTAAATTAGAGCAGGTTGTCACAGGAGATGCAGTGACACAGAGAGAATTCCATGAATTTCTGGAAAAACCCTTGAGATGGTCTCTCTGAACCTGCATTTCCAGCACCAGCAAAACCACGCAGCAGTTACAGGTTTCATGCAGCACGTGGTCAAACACAGGAGAAAACTAGCAGTGCTGTGATGAGAGCTGATCACCAACTGCCCTTTCAGGATACCTGGGACAAGAACTGAAGCAAAAGATACTCACCCCAGCAGCAGCTCATCAGGGACTGCAAGAAAAAGAAAAGGAAACGTGATTTTGCTGAATTTCCCTACTGTGAGAAACAACATCACAGGGAGGCCAGTGCCTCCCTAAGGTACCCCCAGAGGCCACACAGGACTGCAGGGCTCTAACCATCCTCTCTAGCCACCAAAAAAGCAACAGGGAGTAGCAAAATTATTGCTATGGTAGTGCTAAGGCACTTACCAAGTACAGCAATCACAACCCCAGGGATTAATTTTAAAAAGAAATGCAGAAGCCCACATGTACTTTCTTTTATGATATCCTACTTTTAAAAGCACACAATAAAAGCCATGGGGCCTCAACAACTTACTCTGTCACTTTAAGGAGTTGGTTAAAAATATATATATATTGTTTCCCCTGAAATTCTTTTGGCAAGAGTTGAGAACTCAACTTTAAAAATGTTGTTCTTTTCCCAGCACAGACTTGCAGGGCGCCACTAGTTTATGGCTTTTAATGCAGCACACAGAAACATCATGTCTTCAATTATTGGAACTTCTTGTTAAGCTGGAAAGTTACACTTAAAAAACCCAGTCTGTTTGTTGTACTAGCAGCTCAGGCTCTGCTTGTCCAATCTGATCTTTCTGTTATCACCCATGGGACACAATGTACTATGTCTCCATATCCCACTGGAAGATCTGGATTTTTTTACTTTAAAATCTTTTGTTCCAACAATTAAAAATATCCTCTATGACTTGCACTGTCGGTTTGAGTTTTCCAACTTTATTTTAATTCTCCAAAGTGATTGATCAGTTTGTTTCCACAGCTCTGTCTCAGTGTGTGCCTTAGTACCATTGTGCTTTAAGGAGAAATACACCTTTAAAGGAATGTTGACTTCTTTTTTTTCCCTTAATTTACAACAGGATTTAAAAAGCTCTTTTAAAAGTCACGTGTAGATTTTGGATCTGCTCTAACCTGACAGGAGCCATGCTGCAAGTGTTCCAAAAAGCCACTGGGGTCACTCTGACAGTTTAGACAGTAAGTGTCTGCCCATTCCTCACTCCCACGTAGTGCTCAGACACACTTCTCTGAAGGCTTATTTGGTTGCTTTTAGTGTAGCTAAAAATATTCCTTCAACAGACACTTTCCTTAGGAAGAGCCATTCTGTGCTACTTATCAAGTAAACATTAATACTCTCTTAGCACAGATTACAGAAACAGTCAGTGATCCAAAGTGCAGGGAAGGTAATTGTTCTTAACTAGCTGCTGGAATTGGCCAGGATTTCACTGTTGGCTTATGCTTGTTTCATTCAAGTAAAGGGAAGTTTGTTCCTTGCCCTGAGATCACCAACACATCCCCCTCTGCTGGTCAGTCTAGCAATGGGATCAGGTTTATGAAGACTTCCCTTTCAACTCCAGTTTTGAAATTAAAATTAAAAGCAGCATTACAGAAGCACAGCAAAATTCCTGCATAGAGGGACGTAAATTATCATCCCTCAAGTGCAACCACATCCACCAGAAGCTCTAAGAAGCAGCATTACCTTAAGTACCACATTCAAAAGAAGTGTCCCAACCAACCTAATTTTTGAATTTGACTTTGAGAAGGGGCTGCTCCCCATTATCTGTGCTTCACATCCCTTTGTGTTGTCTCCACAGAGGGATACAAAGGTGAAGCCCATCCCTGAGGCAACAGGGTCTGCAGAGGATGCAAACAAGGGGTGGCCAAAGACCCTCATCACTGCCTGGGTCTGACAGTGGCATTACTGGCCACTGCCTGCTGGGCTCATCCTGCTTTTCCTTTACATACCGTGTGAGGTCTCCTGAAAAGCCTTTTTGATCTCTTTCAGAAGCTCTTCTGCTACTGCTGGCAAGGTACTGCCCATCCCACTGGCACTGGACTCATCCCTGGAAACGAGAACAGGAGACAGTGGGAAATCATTAAGGTCACTGTGGATCCCACAAACCAGGAGGGTGTATCCAGGCAGTGCTCTATCCCAATCCAGCAACAAGGCCAAGGAAGGGCATCCTCAGCAACTTGTAAAATGTGTTTTTCACATGTTCTGGGAACACGGGATTCCTCACAAACACGTGGGTCTCTCAGATGCCCACAAGCACACACAGGTCCCATGGAGGGGACTGGGGGCACAGGGTGGGGACAGGGGGAGGCTGTGCCTGGAGTGTCCCGGTTCCCTGCACAGCCCTCCCGGCCTTGGCTGCCCTGGAGGATCCCTCAGGGAATGGCTGCTCTGCACTGTGGTCCCCAGGGGCTCCCGGGGCTATTTAGAGCCACCCGTGCTGGGACAGCGACCCTGGGTCACAGAGCCACAGGATGGGTCAGGCTGGAAGGGGCCACAGTGGCTTGTCTGGTCCCACCTCCCTGCTCTAGCAGGGCCATCCCAGAGAACATGGCACAGGATTGTGTCCAGATGGTTCTGGAGTATCTCCAGTGAGGGAGACTCCACAGCCTCTCTGGTCTCTGTTCAGTGCTCGGTCACTGCACAGCGAAGAAGTTCTTCCTCATGTTCAGGTGGAGCTTCCTGAGCTTGAGTTTTTGTCCCACTGCTCGGCACCCCCGAGCAGAGCCCGGCCCATCCTCTGACATCCCTCCTTTAGATATTTATACACATCAATGAGGCCCCCTCTCAGCCATCTCTCCTCGAGGCTGAACGCCCCCGGCTCCCCCAGCCTTTCCTCGCTGGAGAGACGCTCCAGCTCTCCATCCCTCGCTGCCCCGCGCGGTTCCCGCTCCAGGCGCTCCGTGTCCCTCCTGCCCTGAGGAGCGCGGCAGCGGACACGGCGCTCCAGGTGACCCTCCCCGGGGCTGGGCAGGGGGGATGGAACCGCTCCCTGACCTGCCGGCGATGCTCTTCCCAGCGGGAGCAGATCCCGATCCCGCTCCGGTGCCCGCCTCCGGTGACGCCACTGTCGGCGCGCGCTCTTAAAGGGCCCGCGCGGGATGGCGGCGGTGCCGCGGGCCCTGTCCCGGCTGCGGCCCCGGCGCTGCCCCGCCGTGCTCCGGCCCTGCCCCGCCGGGCCCCGCGGCCACCGGGGGCAGCGCGGCGGCACCACCGGCACCGGCACCACCACGGCGTTGGCGCGGCCGCGCTGGGCCCGCCCGGCCGGCGCTGCACTGGCCTTCCTGGGAGGTGAGGAGGCCGCGGTCACCTATCGCCGGTGACCATCACCCATCCCCGGTGACTCCATCGCCGGTGACTCCGTACTCAGTGACTCCGTCCCCCGCTGCCCTGTCCCCGCAGGGCTGTCGCTGTTCCCCCGGGACGCCGAGGAGGAGGAGGGCGAGGACGCGATCATCCTGCTGCTGAAGAAGGCCAAGGTGAGGCGCGGGGCCCGCGGGCGGTCGGGGCGCGGGGCCCGGCGCTGACCGGCCCCGGGTCCCCCCAGCTCAGCGTCATGAAGGGGGAGCTGGCGGAGGCCGAGCGGCTCCTGCACCAGGCCCTGCGGCTGTCGCACCAGGAGGACAACAGGCAGGCCATCGCCTACACCTACAGCGTGGTAAGGGCCTGCGGGACACAGGTGTCCCCGGGCAGGGAGGGGTTGTGCCGGATTCCAGACCTGCGGTGCAGCTGGAGGGAGAAACAAAAGCAGCTGAGTTGAGGCTCGTCCCTGCTACTGTTGCCTAAAAGCGGCACTTGTAAGAAACTTCTAAAACTCAACTTGTGAGTTTTAGAAATCAGGCATTCTTTAATTGGTACCAAGGGCACTGGTCATCGTTTCACCAAAGTGCACACCGAGGTATCTCCACTACAGCTCATATGTCAGCATTATGTAATTATTAATTTTTTTGTTCCCTGCACTCCTGTTACATATTCATGACACTTCCCAACACTTCTTAGCATATATGCATATCCTTATAAGATCTCTGAGGGTCTTCATTGAGGGTCTTGGTGGTCTTCTCTGTCTGGAGCCTCCCAAAGTTCTAAGTGACCGCCTTCAGGACAATGCACCTGGTTAAAAAGTAACTGGGTGTTGCCTTGCTGGCTGCCTAAACCTCCCTCTTTGTTGTTTCTTTAAATCACTTGGCTCACCTATCTGTAGTTTCTAAGCACTGCCAGTTCTTGTTACATCTCTAAACCCCAACATCACTACCTTTGTGGAGCTTCAGCACTCTTTGTCTCTTCCAGATGGCAAACGTGGCCTTCATGCAGGGACAGCTGGACAATGTGAGTAACTGGTTTTCCCTCTGAATTTTAAGATGTTGGCATCTCGTGCAGGATCTCGAAGCTGTGGTGTGCTGGGACAAGCTGCAGGCTGAGGGCTGTGAGGCAGAGACTCCCCAGTGCAAAGCAGAACAATCTGCCATAGAACTGCCAGTCCCATGAGCACGTGATGCTGAGAAAGATGCTCTCACGGTTAAATTTTGAGCTCCAACATGGTGTGCAAGGGAAGGAACACCTCTTACTGTCAAATGCCACAGCTGAGCATTTAGGTGGCTGTCCTGAGGAGAATCTGGGAAAGCCCTGAGCACACACAGACATGGTAAATGCCTGGCTGGTATAGCAGTCCACTGGGCTCTGGTCAGCCTTTCACTTCTAACTTGATGCACAATGTAAATGCCACCACTTTGAGACAGGTCTCTCCAAGCAGGCTGCCTCTGTTTTGTTTTAAGTGCCATCATTCCTTGGTATCCTCTTCAAAATTCTCGTTTCAGGCAGAAAAGCTCTACAAAGCAAGTATGAGCTATTTGCTTGCAGGGGACATGAAGGAGGTATGTTTTTCTGAGAAAGGCAACAAGATGGGGATTTTTAAGTTCTTAAACACTCTGAGAAAGTAATGTTTCTGTTGGGGAGGTGCAGGAAGAATGACAGTTGCATTGTGTGTCCTCCTGGCAGGATGACAATGCAATCCTTGAGATGTCCCTCAAGCTGGCCAGTATCTACGCTGCTCAGAAACAGTGAGTTCCCTGCTAAAGGCATCTTTGGCTTTCATCTCAGCAGAGGCTCTTTAAGAACAGAGTGCCTGAGGAAGCTTTGATGTGACAAGACACCATCAGCTCAAAGGTTCCCACACACATATTTGCCTGCCCACTGTTGTGTAGCACAGCAAGTGGTTTAAGGACCAGCCCAGCTCAGGGCAGAAGCAGCCATGGAGAACTGAAATCCACACCTCCCTGGGCAGAGGCTTTTGGAGCAGTTGGTGGCTGGTGACTTGTAGCCTCATTTTTCAGTGAAGCCTCAGCATGGGTGGCCTGAGTCAGCCCTGGTGGGGGGAAGGGGGTCCTATCCACCCCCTGGATCCTTTTGCCCATGGGTCAAGAGAAGGGTTCAGGCCATGATAAAGAGAGCACTGAGGGGCTGCAGAAGGAGAAAATTAGCCTTGCAGGCCCTCTAGAATGAGGGGTTGAAGGTGTTCACATTTGTCCCTTCAGGGATGGAAGGGGCTTTGCTTTGCACTTTTCAGGGACAAATTAGCCATAGCTGGATACCAGTTCTGCATCCTGACCTTAGAGGAGAAGATTGCCAAGCAAAAGGACTTGCCTGAGGATGTCTTACCAGGTGGGACTGCCTTGTCTGCCAAAGGCTCCTCATTATCCTTTCTCCATTTTCATACCCTTGATGTTGCTTTCCATATTACCTAAGCACCACCTTCATGTCAGTCCGTTATCTTGACACTGCATGAGCTTCCTGCTCTTGTAGGATGGAGACTTGTGCTTGATCCTGGACAAGTGACCACTTCACTCCTCTCTGTTTGCAGCTGAAGAAAAGGCCAACACCCGTCTCCTGCTCGGGATGAGCCTGGACTCCTACGCTCGGTACCTCCTGAGCGTGAACCAGCTCCCAGCGGCCCAGAAAATGTATGAGAAGGCTCTGCAGATAGCAAATGATGTTCAGGGAGAGACTCATCCACAGGTGACTTGTACTACAGTGGTTGGACCACTAAAGAAAGAAAGGCTGATCTCTAGGGAGCTTTGCTGACATCCAGCATGCCCAGCACTAAGTAAGGCTGTTTTCCTGCCAGGAAGGACGAGCATGCAAATGTAGAAATATAAGGCACTTTCTTACTGAAAGCTTCTCTGGCAAATGCTGCTTTTATTAGAGTGACAGGGGATGAATGTGATGCTTCTGCTGCCTCAGACTGCTGCACAAGTCTTGCTCTGAGGATTCCCCTTTCCATCCTGGTGCAGACTGTGGTCCTGATGAACGACTTGGCGACTGTGCTGGATGCTCAGGGGCACCACGACGAGGCCTATTCCTACGTGAAGAGGGCGGCAGAGCTGGCAAGGGAGACTCAGCACCCCGAGGAGCACATGGTGCTGAATAACCTGGCAGCGATTCTGATGCACAAAGGTCAGTAAATCAATGCCCAAGCTTGTCACTGTGCTTGACTGTATTGTAGCACTGAACTATAGTGTTGGCTTTGCTTGACTAGTTTTAGTTTAAGCAGTAGGTCTGACTTTGTGAAGGCAATTCAAACTGAATTCAACTGCTGACCCAGAAGGTTGCCAGGGGGTCTTGTTCACCTTGTCCTCTGTGTACAGTTACTGGCTCCAAAAGGACAGAAGACATGCATGAGATTTGTTTCCATGAGATATTAATGCTGATGCAGCACTGTGACCAGTCATTGTTGCTGTCCAGCTGTCACAGGTGACAGCCCAGCAGGATATTTTCTGAATCTCCCTAGTTCATGTGCTCCAAGCAGTCCTTGTCCTTTGCACGTGGTCAGCTTCAGGAGGGGACTCTGAAAATGACTGATGTACCTGGGTAGCCATCCCTCTTTTCCCTCTTGCTACAGAAGACTTTCTGCAAGCAAAACAAGTGTACAAAGAAGCTCTCAAGCAGGCACAACAGAAGGGGGATGTTGCTTCTGTCCAGCATATCCAGGAAGAATTAGCCGAGCTGGCCAAGAGGAGAAAGGGCTCCAAATAAGTTTGGCTACAGAGTCCAACCTCGAGGTGGCCCAGGGCAACAAAGGCTGGTCAGCACAAGCAGCCTGGGACCAGCTCAGTGCAATTCTCCAGGGGAGCAGCAAGGAGGAGTTCAAGGACTGCTAAATAGGAAGGGCTGCTACTGCCCAACAACTTATCCCAAAATAAAGGTGTGAAATCTTAACTATGTGAATTTGTGGTGCAGTGTGTGGTTAGAGTGACCTACTGTGCTAGTGATTTAACTTTGACTGCCAGCAAAGGGCAGGCCTGGCCTGGTATTAATACTTGCAGTTAAGGAGTAGTTGTTTGCTCCTCCTGCCTGTTGCAGAAGTGTTCCATTTCAAAACATGGCTGTACTAGAGCAAGTCATGAAAAGGAACAGGCAAGAACTGTCTCACTCTTTACATCCTGGACAGCACAACAGGGGCTACACTTTTATCAGTGCTACAGTGCAGTGTGTTTGAACTTCAGGAGAGCATTCCCCAGGCTATACCTGCACTGTGACAGAGCTGTAACCCTGTGTCCTTGTCAAACAGGTTGCCTGAAGATCAAGGGTATTTCTTCAAAGCATTGAGCATCCAAAGATAGAACATGCCTTCTCAGGGGAGGGGTGAGACTGTTACCAAAACAGAGCTGTTGTCAGAAATACAACACTTGGCTCCCTTACCCCAGTGGAGAGCACACGGAGTGCCAAAGCTCTCCTCCTTCCTTGGATAGGTCAGTGTTAGAATGCTGAGGCTTCCTGTTGGAAAAGATGGTATGTACAAACCCAGCTTTGTCAGCTACATCCCTTCATGTGAATCAAGTATGAACAGCTGCTTTATGCAACAGAATTCTTCAGTTCTGCCCTGCCAGGAAGCCTAATGTTAAAGACAGAGGAGAATTAAACCAGAAATTATCAAATTCCCTATTTAGTTAGGGTAGCAGAATTAACTAGTTCTGTCAATAACCAAGCATAATTTTAACCTCTCAGTTGTCAGAACTTCAGCTGGTTGGGACAACCCTCAATGTTAAATGCATCATTATTAGTTCACTTCCAGTAGCAGCTTCAGCTCTGCTGAACTTAGAGCTAAGGCATGTGGGTTTTCTGGAGTAGAAGTTCACTGAAGCTGAAAAAACTTAAATCATGTACATCTTTGTTCTCAGCAAGCTCTAGGAAGTAAAAATGTGACCGTACTGACAGAAAAGCTCTGACACATTAAAGCCAACCTTTAAAGTTCTGGTTTTAGTTCTGAAGTGGCAGCCCTTGGACAGCAGCAGTGTTAACTGGGAGCCCTGCAGAGCCCCGGAGGGCAGGGTCTGGCTTGATGCTGCAAAACAAGAGGGAGACACAGGAAAAGCAAGTGGAGAACTGATCCCCTTTATTGATTGGTCTGAATCCAGAAGTCACTGTCTACTGAAGACATTGTGTGGAAATTATGATGCATGGGTTTTTCAAGTCTTAAATGATTTCAATATCAGAATCACGAACCATATCAAGATGAAAGCATTGTGAAAGCGCTGATCAGAAATCAGGTAAAAATTTGTAGTAAACTAAACTTTGTAAACATGACTTACAAACACCTTCCTGTTTGAAACAGGGCAGATGTAATTCCATACTTGAAGATTACTGGAATTGTGGTAAACCCTAACTTAGGCTCTGGAGAGGTTTTTTTACACTGGAGAAGTTAAAACTCAGATAACAAACAAAAAAGCAGCAACATTTTATGTGCAAATGCCACTCAAGCTGTATCTTAGGAGAAGGTGACTATCCTACTTTGGATATCTTGCTGCTGCTGCAGCAGTAACATGAAGCTCTGCAATGAACATGCTATACTTACTGTACAGGTAGCAAAGACATTTGTCTGTACATGCCTCTTTCACATTGTATTTGTTACACTAAGAAAGTGAGAACAAGTGAGCTTAAGAATGGAACTTAACTCTCCACTCCAAATTTAAATCTACAAAAAGGGCAGATCAACTCGTTTTCCAGTATATGTTGCTGTGGGAACAAAAAAGAGAGTTAAAATAAGAGCACAGGTCTACAAACAGGATGAAAACTGCTTCAAGCCAGAAGGGTAAAGGATGGGAGGATGAGAGAGATCTTTCTTAGACTGCAAGGAGATTTAAGACTGCCAAAGGATCTACTCTGATGCAGTGTTTAAAGAAAGTAGCAAAATAATTCTGTATTTTCAACACAGTGTCAAGTTTCCAAATGAGTTCCTTTGGATTTTTTTTGTTTCCCACACTTGGGGCAAAAAGGCTTTCCTTAAAGGACTGAAAACAAATTTGCTGTTGATAAATAGTTCTGTGCTTCTTCCTGTTTGTAACTGGACCATCACAGTCCCTCCATTGGCTGCAGAGCTCACATGGCTTAAGGTTACACACTGCTTTACACCTTCCATACAATGATCACAAACACAGCGGTAAAGTCCAAATATTTTCACTGGAAAATAACTTCAAGGCAAAGACTCTGTTGATCAATGGGATGCAAAAGCAGTTTGGAATCTGACAGACCACGCCACCCCCCCAGCTCAGTGCTATCTGTAAATCAGTCCTTCTACCCCAGAAGAGTTAAATTCACTTCCTGAGGTCAGTGCAGCATAAAATAAGATGCTTCTGGAGATGGATGTCAGGGCACCCTGTGATATCACTAACCAGATGTGTGTGTACATGAGCTACAAGCATACCATAGCAAGCACTGAATGATTAAGGAGACTCTCCTAGTACCATATACAATTTAAAAATAAAAATCACCCTAACAAGTATTGCACACTTCGGGAGTTAAGCCAAGCATTTGTAAGGACTTCCACCAAAAGCTTGCTTACAGGGACTGGGACGCAGACTTCAAAGTAATTATTACAAAAATCAGATTGGAGGAAGGTAAAAATCACAGTACCTATTTCAAACTGGTTGTAACAGAAGCCAAGTAGCTGACTCGTGTGTTGCTCAATTATTCTATAAAAGCACTTTGTTTTATTTAAACTTGGGATGTAGAGGTTTTTCTTCTTAAAGGATTTATCAACCCACCCAGAGCCTCTTCAGAAAAACCATTTGCTGTGGTTAAATATGACAGGAAAATTTAGTAGCCTGTTTTGACTGCATACAATGCAGAAACAGAAAACACTAAGATAGGCTTTTGGGGCACAGTCAAAATTCCCAGTGTGCATAACAGTGAGGTATGCCTCCAGAAGCTGTTCTTTTTGTTTCTTTAACCTTTCAAAAAATGAGCCATAACATACCCATGCAATAATATTTCTGCAGTGTTGCTAAATAAAACCAACTGCACCAAAAATTTACAATGTGGCAGAATTTCAAATTCAAAGAAATATATCATCTTATTCCAGCGAACCGGACTATGTTAATGTACAGAATTCACTAAGGGGTCAGTCTTAAAAATCAACATTTTCACAAGAGCTTGAACACCACTGAAAGAGTGTGTCTAGGGAGAAAAAAAAAAATTATATAAAAGCACAATGCCTGCAGGAAGTGGCATGGCATTAAACGGGCAATGATGGTGGGGAGGCTGGGGTTCTGGTTAGGCTAGGCTGAGAAGGAGGCTAGGGTTATGAAGAGTATTCTACACTGGAGAAAATGCTTAAAAAAAATTACAAAATGACCCCCAAAGTTTAGGCAATGATTTGAACATAAGTACACCAGATACTATAGCAAGGGAAAAAACACTGCAAAAAGTACTCTCTATTTACAGAAGAATGATTTAAAAGACATTATGGTTTTCTTTACAAATAGATGTAGAGCAGGAATAGTCCACATTTTTAAAAACTCTTTACATATTTATCTTTAGTAAGTCAACCTTCTCAACCACAATCCTCCAACGCACAGCCTGTGCAGAAGGCATTGAACAGACTCTCCAGCAATTCTTCATTGTGTGGCCCTTGCTCTCTTGGAAAGTCTCTGTGGGCACAAGTCAAAAATAGATTTCTTTTTTTGACCCGCAAATTAAAAAAAAAATAATAATCTGCATAGTTCAGTCATCACTGTCAGACAGAGTCTCATATTGTGCTGAAAGCAGTGGTGCAGGCTCTCGCTCCCATATCCTGTTCTGTGGGTGAGTGGTTGCTTGGCTCATGGACGGGGGGGCACAGGCGATGGATGTCGGGGGGGTGCTGCTGAGCATCCTCATCGTCAGCGGGTTGTAGGGAAACTGGGTGGAACCTGGATCAAAAGGCAAAAACAGGAGCTGTTCTGAGAGATCTGTGTAAAGCCAGGCTGGTGTTGGTTGTGACAACTATCAGAAAATCTATTTCAGAAAGTCCTCCATACACTGTGTAAGCCGATATCCAGTGTTACAGTGTGTCAGCACCTCAGCTTTCTACAGACACTTCCTCTCGTTTGTGAAGTCTGAAAGAACCCCATTCCTCACCTGTTGATGAAGGCCTGTCTTCCCAGGCCCACACTGGCGTCTGTCTGTGGTAGTCCCCTTCTGAATGTACAGATGAGACAGAAGAAGGTCTTTCAGTTCCCAAATATCCCTGTCCAGGAATCGGAGACTTCGACTTCCTGCTGTTTGACTTGCCGATGAGCTTCTGCTTGCTGACTCCCCCTCCTGGGAACAGAAGCGACAGATTTCACAAAAATTGCATTTTAGCCTCTGTGTGTTTGTTTCTCTAAGTTATCATGCAGCACTGAGAAGCTTCAGGCGTCCAACACACCCTGTTCTCTCTTCCCCATTCCATCAATGTTGTGACAGGTTAATCCTCCTGAAAACCCAGGACAGCGGAGGGAATGCAAACACCACCTCTGTCACTTCCAGAGAAAGGACAGTGATTTTCAGTGACACCGAATTTATTCAAACCCCTGATTTATTTATTTTAAGACCATGGGATACTTAGGAGTTGCAATAATACCTCACCTGAATTTGGTGATGGATTGGCTTCTTCCCTACGTGTCTCGTTACTCGCCGGTACCGCGGCCCCAGAACTGCCCGGTGCGACCCCAAGGGATTGTGACAGTACAACTCCGTGTTCCTCACTCTTGTCATCAAAGTTTCCCATCAATGCTTTCCTAATAATGTCTTCCAGACCCAGATTACTGGCAGGATCTGCAAAGGAATGACCCCTCGAACTGACTGCACCTGGGAGAGAAAAGAAAACAGGGAAAGGTGGGAAGGGAGGCAAAAAACGTCTCAGAGAAATTACAAAGAGATGTGGGGAAACATTTTAGAGAGAGGCAGAAAAGTGGGGAAAAAACAAATAAAGCATTCTTGCTTAAGTTCCCATTTAAATATTTTCTGAAAGGTTGGTCATTTTGCTTTTCTCTACAATGCAAGAAACCAATTTTCATGTAGGATATTAACTTTTACATTTTCATCATCTTCCTCATTTACTGGACTCCCCAAAGAGTATAAATTTAAGATATTACATTAGTTTACTTTTTCTGAAACACATGTTGTTTCTTTTACCCAAAAACTTACCTGAGGTAGTGACTGCTGGCAAATTGAATATTTCAGTCCCTGGCTGAGCAGTTGCTGCAATTAAAACACAACATTTCACTGAATTTTTCAGGACTGATGATCACTAAGTTATCACTCCTAGCTCTACTGCACAAGAAAAAAAAACCCCAAAAATATAGTTCTAGTATCATATTCCACCATGTCAGTGTTCATTCCTGAAACTATATTAAAATTTCATTTAACAGATATAATCATAAGGGCCAAGAAAACGCAAACCATTCAGTTTCCAGACACCTTTCCAAAAAGGAACATGTATAACAGTTAATGTTGATCTGAAGCAAACTACAGACACAAAGTTAATTAGAATAATATCAGGTTTTAACATCTTTCTCATTAATTGCGTGTTTTTTATCTCTCAAATTAAGTGTTAAAAAGATTAAATGTGACAGTCCTACATACAGCAGCATTTTAAAAAAATCTAATAATATTCTGATTCTACTGGTCACAAATTATTATATGTGTTTTATGTTCCTAGATTTAGATTAATTCATATTATTTGAAACATATTTAGGTCAGGACACCTGTGGATGGCAGTCACAGAAAGCACAAGCTGGAAAAATTGAGTGAAAAGGCAAGTCCTGCATACCCATGTCAGAGTCACCTCCACCAGATGAGTTCAGCTTTCGAAATATCTCCTGTTTCTTGGATTTTACCATTGGTGAAGTGTTCTCAAGTTTGGTGAAAAACGAAGGCAGGTAACTGATACTGCCTGGAGAGCGAGAGTCAGTCCTGCCAAGACCAACACGTGTCAAAGAGACAGAACATCCAAGATGTACATTTAAATCTTTCCAAAAGCAGTCAGGCAGAAACCACTAACGTTGTATGAACACTGTGGTGCTCAATAAAAATTGAGTTTGTTTAAGCAGCAGTAATCTGGCAAAAAAGCCTTAATTAAAATCCCCAAGAAACAATTCATACTTAAATTAAAAACTAATCTAAAATAAAGCAAAAAAGACTCTAAAGGTTTCCTAACCCAAAATCCTTACATTTCTAAAAAGTGCAGTCCTGTTCCCAAAAATCCCTGTGATCTAGCTAACCTCCATCATGGACTGTAACAACCCTGCCAGCAACTGCAGAGTGGAGGGGGGAAAAAACCCAAGGAAAACTGAATCAATGTCACCAGCATGAGCCTTAAATAAGTACATTGGCTGCTACTCCTTCCTCAGCAGAGCAAATGGCAGGAGCACCCACTGCAAAGTGCATCTGCCACAGGTCTGCAGACACCAGCACTGCCAGTGTGCCAGGGATGCTGGGCACTTTGATGCTGCAGGTGTGGCAGAGTGACAAACAGCCCTGGGACAGGGCTGCCTGATCCAGGGACCTCCTGACACCCCACCTTCACACCTCCCAGAAGTAAAGCTCCTTAGCTTAGTGATGTTTCAACTGATTAACTGCTCCAGAATCATGAGTGCTGGAAGCCAGGGTTCCTCCCCTCTCCACCAGGACAGTATCCAAGAAGCCAATCAGGCAGAAGAATACAGAATTATTTAATAAATATCGTAGGAAATGCACCTTTCTCAAAAACCATTTCAGTTTTATAGAACTGGTACCCATGAGGAGCTTTGTTCTAACATTTTCTACCAGATACAACACAGAACACACTGAAACTGAAGACAGAACACGAACAGATGACCTTTCACTCAGCCTTCCCAAAGCACCTCCCAGTAGCAAATTTTGGATGTTAGTGCAGAAGGATCAACTGTGATTAACAGCTTTCCCTCTGGTACCAGAGGAAGATCACTTAAACTGCTCTTTAATAAAGACACTGTTTGCAGCACAAAGATCCAGAATAATATTTTTAAAGTCAGCTTTACACCTACCTCTGTTCAGTAGGCTCAGTTCTTTGGGAAAGCAGAAGAACATTTTCCTGTTTCTCATGTACAACTGGGACCTGAGGTGGTGAGATTGGCTCATAGGGCTCTGAAGAGACGTGACTCCTCTCTGGAGATTTTCCAGGCCTACACCCATAATTCAGAGACAGATAAGTACTCTTAATGCATGGACAGCAATAGTTAAGTCATGTAATTGTTTTCCAGTTGTTTCCAGTTGCTCCATAACTACTTATGTCTAGTTATATGTTACATGCTTTAGTCTGCTTGGTGACCTCAAAAAAATGACTATGAATTGTCCATAATGACTCCGGTAAGTTTTAAGGAATTAAACATCTTCACCCCTCTAAAGACTGGAACTTAAGCAGAAATAGTGAAGGGAAAACAGTTATAAGTTATGTTTTGGAGCCAAGCAATTGTCAAAAACAGTATGAGACAGATGTTGTCTAAAAATAAGACAAAAAGGTACCTTTACGTCCAATCTACATCAAGATTAATGCACTTTTTTACAGAAATACCATATCTGGGAATTAATTAAAGTTGCAGTCAAACTGAATACATGCATTACCTTCCCCTGGCCTTGTCAGACAGGTTTTCAGGTGACACTCTGGCACCTGGCCGCTGGTGGTGGACAGACTGTGACTGTGCCTCGGGGCTGTAGCGATTCGACGTCTTTGCCCGGCTGGAAACAGGTGTTGGAGCAGGGGTGGAATTCTGGAATGTAGTGGTGGGAGGCTGCAAAGAGGCCTGAGAAGCTGCCTGGTTTCTTGCAAAGTCTTGTGTAATAATTTGCTGAATGTCATCAAAAAGATAGAAAACAGATCTTGGTCAGATATTGGCCAGAGTGTAGGTATTCATGAACTAGATGAACATGAGACTGATTGCAACAAATGGGATTATAAATCCAGGTACAACATTTTATTATATCCTCAAGTAAAACTAATAATTAGAGAATTAAGTTCCAAAACATGTGTTTACATAATCAGAATACAACACTTGTCACATCTGACAAGATGCAAGCAAATAAACCTACACAGATGTGATCAGCAAGGGTGATGAGCCGATGGGTCCTGGGCACATGTGCCATCCCTTCTGCCTGGGAAGAGGGAGGTGGAGGTTGTTGGGGTGAAGGGGGTTCCTGCTGTGTCCTGTAGCGGTGAATCGGCCCCTCATACGGCCTGTTTGGGTCAGCTGGTTGAAAAGGAGAAGGCCAGTCTGTTAAGCTGCAAGGTTTGAAACTTCTGTGCTTAGAAAATTTAAAAGATGAAGAGTTTCTGCATTAAATTTTAGGTATCCTGTGTGATAACCACCTTTTCCACCTTCATACACAGGCCCTACAATTTATAAGATAATAAAACTTCATTTCACAATGCAGGTGATTTTCAGCTCATTTCTCAACTGCAATACTTTGAGCATCACCAACAGGTAAAAAATTGTGGGCATCAACACCACCATGCATTGATTTTAAAGAACATATTGAAAATTTCTAATTAAATCAGTGACACTGTAAAGAAACTCTGTTTTAATGTGTCAGTTCCAAGACATTTGCTCTAGTTTTTCACTGCAACAACATACTTCCAACAAGAAAAATATGGTATACAGTCACTTTGATATTTTAAATAGATAAAATAATAGATAATAAGATATATAATTATAGATAATGTTGAATAATAGATAAAAGATATTTTAATTTTTTATGAATTTGTGGAGCTGGTAAATATAAGAAAGGTAACTGAGAGAATATTTGCATATGCAGATAAACTTACTCTCTGCCTGGCTTGGTTTAGGTGTCTCTTGTTGATAGGGCTGTAGCTTTTCTTGAGCAGGTACAGGGGAATTTGCAGGGCTAATCACCTCAATGGCGTCTCCAGGAGCTTCATACCGGTGGGAGGATACTGAATGTCAAGCAAAGGTTGTGGAATAAGGGGTAAATATCACAGAAATTTTTTGTTGCCCACACAACACTGGTGCTTCCACTGAAATGGCATCAGTGAATGACAGTCAAAACACTGTCTTTTTCTCATGATAACCATGGTGACACAAATACTTCCATAAAACAGTGTTTCAACATAAACCAAATAATTTTCAGTTTCCTGACTTCTGATAAGGTTACTCATATGATCCTGCATTTCATGCTGTAGCATGGAATCTGAATAAAGCAAACAACTCTGATTTTGCAAGAGTCTCGAGTCACTATTTGCAAAAACTGTTTGTCTATGAAGTGTTTCTACTGCGCAGAGCTGAATATTTTATCATTAAACATCCACATCATTTCACATCTTATTTCCCTGAAGGGCTAAGACAGACAGCAAAGAAGTAGACAGTGACTAAGATACGTACAACTACTGGAAGAATCTGAACTTTGAGAGCCCCTATCTCGTGCATCCTTGTCTGAAGCAATCTGTCGAGTGATGATCACATCTATGAAGTTAGCAGCAGTAATTGTGGTCTTTCCTCGAGTTCTCAGCTCTTCCTCGTACCTGGATTTAGGAGGAGGTCCTTTCTCTTTACCAGCCTCTGAATAGACTACTGATGAAGACTGTCCCTGGGACTTGCCACCAGAATAATTTGCAGATGTATAGGGGCACTGGACAGGCCTCTTTTCTACCTCCAGTGTCTTCTGTTCCAGCTGCTGCTGGTCAGTAACCACAGCTGACCGGCGGCCCATGTTCTCTTCTATCCTGGTTCCTTCGTGCTTGTTCTCTTTTGCTTTGGCAACTTCCATCTGAGGAGCAGAGGCTGCAGCATCTACCAGAGCTGCCAGGGCATCAGCAGCAGTGTTGTAACGGGAAGCTGGTAAGCCTTGAGTGATAGAGGGAGCCCCGGGGGTGAGCTGCCTGTTGGAAACATTGAATAGTCTGAATTATATCACAAGGAACAAAGAACTAGAGCCAGATCCTGCATACAATGAAACAAAGCTTTAGTGACCCTCCTTTCTCTCCCAAATGGACTGGTGAAAATGCACTGGATTACTTCTGATAAATCCAAGAGCAGTCAGAGAGTGGGATATCCTTAACCCTGTAGTATTTTCCTCAGGCTAAATGCAGCTTTTAATAAGCTCAATTATTAGAACAGGTATCTCTGCAACAGTAACTTATAAAACATACATGATACGTAGTTGAGCAGCAGGATCCAGAGGTGTGATTACACTTGTCCCATTGGTTCCTTGAAAAATACTGGGCCTTTGCTGCAGGATGTTTTCCTGGGTTCTGACTGACGGGGATGGGGACCGGACATATCCATGACTGCCGGGTCTGCCAGGCTGCTCTGTACCTGCAGAACACAGAGTGGAGGGGAACAAACAAAAAATATATGGATTATTCTTATAACAGTGCAGAACTATGTATCAGTGCTGTATCCTCCACATCCTTCCCCAGGTAGCTCCACCACTCTGGATGTGGTGGAATGTATGAAGGTTTAAATGATAGCATTGTGTTTACAATGTTCTAAATGACATGCAAACTGTGCCAGTGAAAACTGGGATTCGCTCCTTCCCCAGGTACTAGGGGAGTACCTGAGGTACTAAGGAAAGCTCTGAGAGAAAGATCAAGAAGCCTGGTACTTGTAGAAGTTGCAATTATGACCAGAACCAGTTGCAATTATGACAGGAACCTGCCTGAAGTGCAGACTGAAACCAAAGTGAGTAACGTGTTAGAAAGCTGCTGTTCACAAGAGTGGCCACAGAAAATGAGCAGTTACAGTTCTACAAGACAACTGATCCCACATGCACTGACCTGGTCGGAGATAAAGTTCAGCAGGGACTGAAGTTATTCTCTCCCTCTCACGTTCTCGTTCTCGTTCCCGCTCTCGCTCACGTTCCCTCTCCCTTTCCCGTTCCTTCTCCCTCTCCCTTTCCCGTTCCCTTTCAGCATTTGCAGCTGCAGAAGCTGCCAGATGTGTGGGGTGTCCTGGAAGGTCCACAAGGTAAAATGAAGTAGCAAAACAGAGATACATGAGTGAAGCGTAATTTGATGTTAACACTTGCCAACATATTCTGCCATCCACCTACAGCAAAATTTCCCACATACATTTTCATTCCGCTCAAGACCATCCCTTATCTAGGAAGACAAAAGCTTAACATACAGCAACAGTGGAAGGCTCAACAGATATTTACTGAAGTAGTTTCTCTACTGTTAGAAACTAGACAGCTTTTAAACCCAAATTCCATCCTTCAACACATGTAAAATGAGGTTAATGAAATCATATTCAAATTATTATAAATAAGGACCTGACAGAACGAGGCAAATTCTGAATTTGACAGCACTCCTACTGTAACTATACAGAATATCACCAAAAAAACCTTTGCTATCCAAGTGAAAAGTGCATGCAAAAAGCATTGCCTGAGAAAACATCAAAACATGGCCATTGATGAAAGCTGAATAAAGGTGGTCAATTATCTCAGCACGTCAGACAATGAGAGAAATCACCAAACCATGAGGGCTCTTACCTGGTGACAGAGAAGCAGGATTGTAAGGCCTGGGGGGGAAGGTAAGCTGGGTGCCAGGGATATATGTGATTCTCTCCATGGGTGGGGTGCTTGTTCCTCCAGGATGAGGCACTAAGATAGTGGGAGCCATATTGTTCAGGTCAATAATTCCTGTTAGGAGGTGACACACGTAAGAATGGCTGCTCAAGGACAGACCAATGGTCTACACATTTTATGTTCTGTTCATTGGTAACAGTCAACAATGAATATTAGTGAAAAAATATAAGAATAAGGCAATTGTAGAACTATATTCCAGCTGGTTATAATCTCTTAGATCTGGCAATCAGCAATTTAGGAACATACTAAGTCAGAATTTGCATTTGTAGTACTCCCTTTAATTGCCCTTCAAGAAAATGTGCTTCACCTCTACTCAATAATTCCATATTTTACCAATTTGGGGTATTATCCAAAAATAAAACAATCAGCATCGTTTTCACAAACATTACCCTTTAGGCTGTTGCTTTTGTTTTCTTTTTGAAGTTCTCATTTTGATATAATTCTCTTTTCTGAAGTCTGAAGATGAGCTAAATATGCTTCTGATCACTGGATCTTGAACACTCTCAGTCTTACAGCCTTCCCCTTAACAACAGTGATTACAGACATAGTTTTCCTTTCTATCCACAAAAGGCAGTTTGCAAGTGAGTTGTCACACATGTAACACATCTGCACTTCTGTGTGTGCACTCAACCCCCCGCAGAGCACATCCCAAACACCTTTGAAAGGACATTACAGCAAAAGACAGGCCCACCTCTCGCTCCTGCATAGGGCAGGGCTAAAGTTTGCTCTCTGGGAGACAAGCCCCTGGTGACGTCGGGCCGCAGGTTGACCTGCATCTGCTGGGAGGTGATGTAGTCGTTGAGGATGGTCTGCCGCGTGTTCTCCATCGCGTACAGCTGGTACTGGCTCGGGTAGCCCGGGGTGGGCGAGAGCTGCCTTTGGAACAGGTAAGCAGCAGCAGCTGGGGGTGACAGAGGGGAGGAGAGAAGATTTAGGAAGCAGTATCACAGAATAGTCTGAGTTAGAAGGGACCCACAAGGATTGAGTCCAACTCCTAAGTGAAGGGACTGTAC